TTGTGCGATGAACGTCCGGGACGAAACATCATCATCCTGCATGACAACGCTTGCCCCCACGCCGCTCGCCTCACATTGGAAGCAACTGCAAAGATGGGGTGGGAAGTTCTTCCAAACTCCTCCTATAGCCCTGATCTGGCACCCTCCAACTACCATCTTTTTGGATTTGTGAAGGATCAGCTGTGTGGACAACATTTTGAAACAAGGGAGGCAATTCAGAAAGCAGTGTGTCAGTGTCTTCGGAAGGCTGGAATGGAATTTTACAGAAGGGGAATTTTCAAACTCCCAGAACGCTGGGAGAAATGTGAAGAAAGAAGTGGCGATTATGTGGAAAAATAAAGAAAGGTCTGTAGATTAAGGTGGTGTATTTGGTTTGTCAATAATAAAGCATGTTACTTTACAAAAAATTGTTGCTCATGACTTTCAGTACAACCCTGGTATATTCCTCTAGCAAATAAATCAGCTATTAAGGGCACTGTCTTCAGGGATGTGAAGCTCTGAGCCTGGTAGAAGTCTACCTACACAGATCATGATATTGAAAACACTTCATAGCTATGATCACAGAACTGAAAAATTCATAGTTACGAATTGTTTTAAGTAAGAGACTCAGATGTGAAATTTGTGTAAGATGAAAGAATCAAAATAATATGTTTCTCACTCACATGGCTCCCATGAGATTCCTATAGTGTACTCAAACCGAGGCACAGTCCTTGCAGAATTTGTGTAATGTGATAATTCTGAAGCTCATAATAGTACACACACACCAATATAGCATTTTTTAAAACAGTTAAGGTGTATACTAGTTTTTGTTTTGAAAAAAGATATGACACTGCAGTCGTGTTTACATCAGTAGCCAATGCTGCCGAGGAACCATGGATTCATTACTTGTTGTTTTGATCATTCATTTTGTATCATTCAACTATGCAGCCACCATTAATTTTATCCCTCTGTAGTGAAAGTGAAAGTGTTAACTATGAGATCAATGAAAATCCCAAGATCATGGGCTACTTATTACTGTAAATAGTTTCACATTATTATTACCCATTTACCATTGCATCACTATGGCATAGAATTTCTTGCGTAAGTTTTTTAAACTCAGCATATAAACTTTCATCCTTGAAATCGATACTATAGAAATGTAAGATAATGTTCTTTGTAAAACAGTTCCTGAAGAATACTCATTTTTTACCCTGACTCTAGGCCGTTCTACACTGATTCCAGATGCCAATCTGCCATGGTCAGAATTGTCTTCAATTATTATCAGCATATGACTTATCAAAGATGAAATGAAAATACTTTCTTGCTTCCTTCTTTTTATCCCTTTTGTATCTTCATCTCCTCCCCTTCTTTATTCTTAATTTCCTTCCAATTCCATTAATTTTTCTGCTATTAGCATTTGTCTCCCTCATCTCTCTCCTTCTTGTTAAAACAGTTTCCTGACCTCTGTTCTTCTATTCATGTATCCTCCTATCTAATTCCCTCCTTTCTCCTGTATTCAGTTACCATCCCTTTCATTTATCCATTCTATCTCAACTCTTCTCCCAATATCCTAGCATTGGTATACTGGATTTTCTCTAAGCATGAAAGGAATTGACTGTAATTTACATTTAGATTTTAAACTGTTATTTTGTTAATAAAAGTAAGCAAATTTCTCTGTGGTATTTTTTTTCTAACATGGCTACTATTTTTTTTGGAGATGGATTCTAGAATTCTAGAAAATCGGAGTACACTTGACTCTAAGTACAGTTCCATAACTCCCAGTTTTCCATGCACTTAGTCTCTCACTCAGTGCAGTTCTGTGAGTTCTGATCTACCAGAAAAGCAACTCTTGAAACTGGCACAAAACTAGTGTAGAACTGTCCTTACCTTGGACTTGATAGAAGGCAGAGATTCCAACACGATCAGCCTCACTGAATGACACAGGTCCCTTAAGAAAATGAAAAAGTAGCATTAGCCAACATATTTTGAAGCACCTTTCTCAGATAAAGAATATGGAAATCACCAACATTTAAAACTTCTTTATGCAGAAATTAATCTAAATTGATCAGTTACTGTACTGTAACAAGACAGAACCAATGATCCACTGAACTCACTGAGACTCCAAGGAATTCCAGTTGCTGGAGCTGTGAAAGGAACTCTGCTGTCATGTCTCTACGACTATAGTCAAACTGATGCAATAAGATGGGAAGTCCAGTTTTCTTCCAATTTTGTTGTGCTCCACTCATAGCTAACGCCATTGCCCACACTGCATCATAAGTCTGTGGTGCATAGCGTGTCACGGGTAGAGAAAGAAGCTCAAACTCTTCCAGAAACCGTGCGTTGGTCTGCAAAAATTTTTGGAATAACTTTACAATATGGTTATATATTTAAGAATCATCAACATAAACCCACATTATGTCATCTACCTCTAAATTTCTTGCAATATTTGTGTCAGCTAAGAACGCCTTTAGTTAAAATATTATTTCAAATCATCAATGACAACTAACCAGGCCAGAATAGGAAGGCATGGCTCCCACGATGCTGTTGTGACTGGAGACAAGGAGCAACCCTTCAACAGCTGCTGCCAGATGGTGCTGTGGACATTCTGTTACATTCTCCCACCATATATCACTGGGTCCACCCTGCAGGATCCAAGCATAATCTGATCCATACATGCCTAGATGGTGAGCCTGAAACAAATGAACAATTGTGTAAGTGAATTGAGGATCTACTTAATGCCCATGGTAATTGGCAGTAAAGAGAGAAATCTTAGCACACTTACTGTGGCCAAAATGGAGGCTGCCAAACCTTTTATTGGGTGAACCATCAGACAAATTTACTAATTAACTAAGTAGAACCTAAGCAAATTATTCCATGTGTTGTATTTATTCTGGAAATATTGAGTCATAATTTAGATACTGCAACTTAAGTATTAACCCTTATCGTAACAAGTTCAATTTCACAAGTGACCAATACTGTTAGGTGTAATGGTATCACTCTAGACTTGTATTTGATAGTTGCTCAGTTCGAAACTTAAGTGCAATACTGGCTATGCTGACTGAGGTTTTACTGGCTCTTCATGACCCCTATATGAAAATGCTGAGAAAGCATCACAATTACATCATGACTGCTTTTTCCATATCCTTTTTAATTCATCATCCACATTATCCCACCATTTAACGCTGTATAGTATAGCTACTGACACCAAAATATCTAACAAAAATACAGTAAAGACACTGCATAAGGAATATGTTAAATAATTTAGTGGTATCTAACATCCACCATTTTGTGATGTTACACATAACAGTTCTCTTGTGAAGGAGGAAGAGACTATGGCACTGGTGTCAGGAAATATTGAACTATATGCTTTATTCCTGAACAAACTGATAACAACTGAAATTGTAATCTAAATAAAGAAACAGTATATGTAAAACTGGATGCCAATTCTCCACATTTGAGTACATTTCAGATTGGCATTTAAAAAAAAAAAAACCTTTTTCCAAGGTGGGGGCATGTGGTAGCGTAGGTACTTGAGTCACTATGCTACAAGCCAGAAGGTCACAGGATCGGATCCCAATGAGGTTGGTATTTTCAATTTACCTAGTCATTCCAGTTACACTATGGCCATGGGATCGACTCAGCCCGTAACAGAAATGAGTACCAGGAATATTCCTGGGGGTAAAGAGTGGCTGGTGTGTAAGGCTGACAACTTCACCATCATCTATTAGCCAATTGTCTAGAAAATGTGGGAACCTCAACATCTCACAACCCTACGGGCGTCCACAGCCTGTTACAGAGATACCTTTACCTTTTACTTTTTCAGAGCTGGCACAGTAGCATATGTGAAAGAAGTGGCCACATGGGACAGCAGGAATTTAGGGGTCACACATTTTAGAATTTGTTTTGCTGTTTGTTAAAGGAAAATTAAGTTCTGTTTATTTTTTGTTCACAACATGATCATTAGTCTGTATTAATTTAAGGCCATGTTATGCAACAGTGTAAATAAAACTTTTTAAATTGGCAACACCAGCGACAGCTAATCACAGGGTACGTAAACTTTCTGTGCTAATTGTGATGAAAATTTGGAATGCTGACTTGTCTTCAATTAAGGAAGGATGCATTTAGGTTTTTGTCAGTCCAGGTCAAGTTCTTGATTCAAGTTTGTAAAAATGTTTGGCATACCTGCATGTTAGCACCAATAACTTAATCATCCATTAAACAAACCTGTTCCAGTAAATTACAATTTCTCCTACCTCACAGAAGATTTTTGGTGCCACTTCATGAGAAAAACTTCCAATAATAATCCTCGTGTCAAGATCCTGGAATTAAGAGACATCACATACTTATTACATGCCAATTCTGGTGTCAGGATGCTGCAGTGATAAACTGAATTGTTATCACAGAGGAAATAATATTCATCATGCATAGCAAAAATGTAAATGAAAACATATATCAAAGTTGTTAGTATCCTACAGGATGGTGAATGGGATAGGAATGTACAGAGTCAGCTACTAAATTAAAAAATTCCATAACTACAGAAATGATAATGTGCATATGGAAATGGAACTTGTGCTATTGTTCAGTAATTGCTCTAGTTTCTTTGTGTCTTACTCGCAGCATGCGAAGCTGATCCTTGAAGTCTGATTCTGCAAATGTGATGGTGGCTCTACAGGTTATGTTGGCTCGCTCCAACTCTGTGACAAGGTCATTTACTGCCTGCAAAACAGGATTTTATAAATCATGGTAAAAATATATTTAGTAGTGTTCAGTCAGTGTTACCAGACTGATTGACTGAACTAACAAACTTCAACAGTTTCCATTGTTTAGGTAAGGGTTAAAGCATTTCAGCTACTGGAGTGAAATATAATAGAGAGAAGAATGCTGGAAAACATATTCCTTCTGTGTTTCTTAACCTTTTTCATGTGATGTTGCACTGAATATGGCTCGGAATCTCATGACCCTCTAGAACAAGTACAGTATGACAGATTATTTACCACAATGCACTTCTGTTGTTCAGCATTGTAGACTGTGTTTACATGCTAATGGTGGCCATGTTAAACACCTACAAAAGGAACAGTGTGACATTTCTTTTCTGCCAATTTAACTTGCTATTGTAGCTTTCTGCTATTAACATGCTCTAAAAAGAATGAAAAAGCAATAAAAATGTGGTAACATTATTTTGGTACAGCCTATAAAACTGTTGTCTATATGTGAAATTGCATTTGTGGGTATGTAGGAAAGTACACACTGGCTGTGTCTGCACATATTGTACATAGTCCCATGTATATATCTATGTGTATGTGTATGTGTATGTGTGTGTGTGTGTGTGTGTGTGAGAGAGAGAGAGAGAGAGTGTGTGTGTGTGTGTGTGAGAGAGAGAGAGAGTGTGTGTGTGTGTGTGTGTGTGGTAGCATGTAGCGCTGTTGATATGCAACTACCATGAGATGGGTGGATATACAAGGGCCGTTTCTGGGCAACGGCTCAATAAACATGTTAATGCAGCAATAGACACGAATGCAACAACTGAGGAACTGTGTTTTCAATGTGACCCATGCTGGTATATTATAAGCAAGGGACAAGGTCAGAGCTTAATCAGTTCTTAATGGAAGTCTGTGAAAAGACGATATTGTTGGAGCTGTTACCAGGAAACATATAATAACAGACTGGGAACACTAGACTGTATGTTCTAGTGAACTGCAAAGAGTGGAAATAATGACAGTGTTACAGTCATTTGTAAGTACAACATGTAAGTGGTCAATACAGTTACCAATCCTAACAACCAACTAATCCAGTTGTTGTGAGCTGTTACTGTTAGAACTGATAGCTGGTGCNGCAGTGTTACAGTCATTTTTAAGTACAACCTGTAAGTGGTCAATACAGTCACCAATCCTAACCCCATCTATAGTCAACAACCGACCAATCCAGTTGTTGTGAGCTGTTACTGTTAGAACTGATAGCTGGTGCTGGGGACAGTTCGGTAACCCAGAGGAAGGAGAGCATCTGTCATTGAAAGCCATTATTAAGCTACGGCATTGAAGACATAACTGTGTAATAGGGAACTGTAAAGTGTAGTCACACACTGTATCAAAGAGTCCAATAAATCAGGCCATCAGTCCAAACTCATCACTAGTCACTCGATCACATGAAAATGTGGTTTGTTTTCTAATGGTTCCTTATTTGTTCTGTAATGTTTACTACACACCTATCATGAAAGATCCATTCCTAGTAACAGGTGGCCCAGAGTTATGATATGTGGACACATGTTAAAATATGTAAGCTACTGGACTGAGAACGGGAATGGAGAAAGAAAGTCGATGTGCCAACCCTGGGAGGTACTAAAACATCCAATTTACTGCACTGATCTACAGAATTAAAGAAACACAATGGACTTTCATCATTCCAGCAAATATTAAAACCTCCAAGTAATGGTTTGATACAGAGAATAAAGAGAGAAACACGATGTGTTAGAACTGTCCTAGGAGGTGTTTAAACATCTAATATACTTGGCTGAACTACAGAATTAAGAAACACCATGGATTCCTGTCATGATGGCAAGTATTAAAATTTCTAAGATATTGGGCTGCTTAATGGAATGAGTAAAAGATGATCAATATCGTCATCATCAGGTGTTTAAAATTATAGTTGAGGAAAACCGCTGTACTTCTGTTATTGTGGCTTCTGTTATTAAATGTTTAACCTATGACCTCCTCTATGTGCATGTGTTTTCCAAGTGACGTCTTGTTCTTTGTGTTGTGTTGTGTGAGTTTTTTATAAACCAGTTCTCCCTCTTGTGTTGTGCTATGTCCTTTTAATGAATGCATTCATAAAAAAGACACAGCACAACACAACATGAAGATTGCATTCGTAAAAAAGATAAAGCACAACAAAACAGGAAGAACAACCCCTCACTTGGAATACACATGCACATATGTTAAAAAACTGATAACCGAAGCCACGATAAAAAAAGTTCAGCAGTTTCCTCAACTATAATTTTAAACATCTGATGATGACCATATTGGTTGAAACAGGTAGCAAAAAACTTTTAAAAAGTTAAAATTTGTATAATGTACAAAACTTTTAAAGTGAATAAATTTTAATAAGTTTTATGGAAAGACATGTTGCATGTGAAATGGTGGAACCAGTGACATTTGATATTAAGTGATGTGCAGCAGGATGCTACAATATAATATTACTGCAGTTATAGGTAGTCCTAAAGTTAATAAATAATATTTGTATGGAAGGGCTACAGAAAACTACGAGTATGAGAAAACTTTCAAAATAGTCGGTTTACTGGATAAGCTCCAAATGAAGACCCCAACAAATACACAGCAGAAGTTGTAACCAGGGGATTTGATGATTTGAATCTGGAAGTACCTGAATAGCAAATGGAGAGTCTTGCAAACTACATTTTACGGTTTGAACATGAGAAAGGAGCTAGAGAATATGGAGAAATTAAATTACTTTTGAAGCCAAGTCAATAAAGAGAATAGCTACAAGCTGGACATCAGGTTCCAAGTTCCGGCAGAAGCAAAACTATTTTGAATATCTCTCAAAACTAGATTGAATCTGGGGCCCAACCAATTTCCCATGCCAGTGATTCCGACACATTTTCAGTATGTAAAAGGCCTAGACATTACATTGTTACTCCATGGGGAAACACTCAATAATTTTACTCCTTCTATATCATCATTTAAACACGGTACAACATATATCATGATCAGCACATCTGAACAAATAATAACAGCAATTATAATTAAATCAATCCTTACACAGACCAGAATGCAGGAAATATGTAAAACTGACATAATTCTGTCCACTGACTTTGCTTTTTCTGAGAAAATATGAAGATCCTACCATTACTTGATTTCAGTAACAGAACACCTTGACCCAAATCACTGTGTTCAGCTGAAACGTAATTTTGGAGGTACTGTTCTATATGATGGATACCAACGGATTCTTTCTTAGAGGATAAAGTAGATGGAGCATGAAGGTGATCACTCACCTCCAGGAATTTTATGTCCATTCCCCAAACACATACTCATCAAGCTATTTTATACTGAATATGGTACATCCAAGCTAAACACAAGTAGCCCCTCTCCTAAGTCTCCATTATAAAATGGTTCAAAGGTCACATTCACCAGAGAATAGACGTCCTCATTCTGACTAAGTGCGGTGACAGTGTCCCAACCGAAACCCCTGACAAAGGCCAGCCGAGCTGGGTTATGTGACGAATCTGGTGCCACCGTGCGATAGAACAGGGGAAACTCCTGACGATCACTCAGCACTGGCGACGTCGAACCGAAAGACACCTGGAACATGTAACAAACAACAAACAGACTGGAAAAATATAGGCTTGTCAAAATGTTTTATTTCTCTTGCAGACAATTTCAGGAAGTGAGAATTTGTAAATTTGGATCCTACAAACAAACGTTGAGTTAGACACAAAACAATAGACAAAATTACAGTTTTATGTATGTAAATCTTCACATGATTAATATATAACATTTATGGGAAAATGACACTACAGAACGGTGATAGCTCCAAACCGTATGAGCCAGGGATATGTTTATGAGTTGGTGAAAATTTCGAAGAAAGTCAGAAGAGTGAGTGTTTCCAGAGTCACAATGTTGTTAATACTAACAGATAATCCAGCAGTGTATCCGGAACAACTGGGGAATCACCATGAATGAAATTTCATCTACAATGAGCCCAAAAAGAGGTAAGAACGGCTTGAGATCCAACAGAAAATATTATTCTGATGAAATCGGGATTCATGCCGCCCACTGAACCAAAAGAATTGAGAAACAGGTAGATTAGTATACAATAGGATATATCAGCTAGTATGTAATTATTTTGACAAATTTACAATAAAAATATTTACTTTTCTTGCTTGCCTAATTTTTTTTGTTTATTTTAAGATCATGAGAGTATTGATACAATGTGGTGTCAAATGGCAGGACAACTGATAAATGATGAATTCAAAAGGATTTTAAATGAAGCGACCGTGGTGTAATTAGGTATTAACCCAGCATTTACCTGGGGAGACAGAAGAAAACTACGAAAATAGCTGATGTCCAGCCCAATATTCAAACCGAGTACTTCCTAAATGCAAATTAAAAGGGTTACGACCACACCAAACTTCTCAGTACTTGCCTTACTATGGACAGCATAAATTCTGTGTGTTATATCAGGCTACAGAGCCCTGTGTGTGTGTGCACGCACATGTGCTTTTGTTTGAGTGCATATAGGCCTATATGTGCAAAGAGGTAAATACATTCTGAAGAATTAACCTCTCAAGAACCACACAACAGTATCACATTTCACTGTGTTGACACTGTAAACACAACAGCAATACACAATATAAGACATTGCACCAGCTATCAAGTAAGTTGAATTTAACAAGTCGTCTCATCATTCAGCTTCAATATAATATTAATTTTAACTCTTTATAATTTTAACAATCAAGTTTCTTCCGTCAAATGTGACACTTTTTTAAGTTTTCCACCTCGTCAGCACCTGCCTTACATGTTTCGGCTCACCACGGAGCCATCATCAGAGGCATTTATAGTAGAAAAAGAAATCACCAACACACAAAACTTCACTTTGTCCAAGATAGCCACGTTCCAGTTAATTAAAATAATTACAAATAGTTAAAATTACCCAGAATGTCGATTCACTAAAAGTTTTTCACACACCACAGTAGCTTCCTTATTTGATTCGTCGTTAATTCTGTAAAATTNGCTTACTCATTGAGCTGAGCCCTTCTAGAGAAGCCGCCAATTGTGCAGCTACTCAAGAATTTCCCAGCATTTTATGGAACCAGAAGGTTCATTACCATGTTCACAAGAGCCACCCACTGCTCCCTATCCTGAGCCAGATCAATCAAATCCATACCATCCCATCCTATCTCTCTAAGATCCATTCTAATATTGTCCACCCACTTAAGCCGTGGTCTTCCTAGTGGTCTCTTTCCTTCTGGCTTTCCCACCAATATCCTATATGCATTCCTCTTCTCCCCCAGTCATGCTACATGCTCTGCCCACCACATACTCCTTGACTTGATCATTCTAATTATACTTGGAGAAGAGTACAAGTTATGTAGCTCCTCATTATGCAGTTTTCTCCAACCTCCTGTCACTTTATCTCTCTTCGGTCCAAATATTCTCAACACCCTGTTCTCAGACACCCTCAGTCTATATTCCTCCCTTAATGTCAGAGACAAAATTTCACACCCATACAGAACCACCGGAAAAATTATAATTTTGTGTATTCTAATTTTTAAGTTTTTGGACAGCAGACGAGAAGACAAAAGGTTCTGGACTGAATGCTAGCAAGCATTACCCGAGTTCAATCTCCTCTTGATTTCCTCCTGAATCAGGTTTTGATTTATCGTCATTTCAAATATCTGAACTTTGTCACATTTTCAAAACACCTGTTTCTTACTGCATAGAAAAATAAAGGGGATCTACTTATATGGTGATTTCACGTCTTATTTTAACATTGAAGGACCACAGACAAAGTTGTCCCCATCGAACAAATTTACACTTCAGTTGATGGTACCTGCACTATATTCCAGTATGGCGTCATTTTGGCCAGACTCTCTGTGACTTCAGAACAAGCGGTCCCCAGGAGCATGATCATGCGCGTTGACTTCTGGGTATATAGAGCGTGGAAGAAAGCGTCCACTCCCACACCGGGGTCGCACTGCAACAAGAGAAGACAGTACAAGAATTCTGCCCATTCTTGTTGTTTCGTATTTCTTTACTTATTTTTCCGATTAAGTTCCGTTTTACTCCATTACCAGAAATTTCTGCATGGTTGACTGATAAAAATGTGCTTTATCCTTACTCCGAGTTCGACCAAGTGCGGGCTGCAGATGGAGACCAAATTAGGGACGCTAGGTACAGAGGTCGTAATAGCGTGCTGGCTGGTCGAGCCTGTAGCATTCCTTAGGATATGATGTATTAAATTGCTGGCCTAACTGTTAAATATTTAAAATGTGGTTGCATCCAAGCACGGTATTAGCAAGTCAGTATGAAATAAGTCGATTCCAAAGGGTTCTGACGATGGTGTATTTTCTTTTCTTGGCACTACAGCCCCAGTGGGCCTACGCCTACCTCCATGAACTTCTCCGTTCACTTCGGTTTTTCTAGATCTTACACATTCGGTAGGACTCCTTGGGCGGGTGATCAGCTCGTCGCAAGGCCTCTACCTGTACACAAACACAGAAAAACGCACATTCACAAACTAAACATTCATGCCCTGGGTGGGATTCGAGCCCACGATCCCGGTTTCCAAGCAAGCGAAGACAGTACATACCTTAGACCGCTCGGCTACCGTGACCGGCGACGATGGTGTATAACATTCAGAATTTCTGGGTTTTTGGACGATGGACCAAGGTCCGAAAACCCAGTAATTTTGAAGATGCGAATATAAGGTACTTCCGAAAAAGGATGCTGCAGCCAGCTGAATATTTCGCGAATCATTTCGATGCTTGAGGTGTGAAGAGCTCTCGAAGCTAATTATGTTCCTGCTGCTACCGTACAGCCTGATAGGGACTTATAACAGTCGCATAAATTCATCTTCCGTTGACCGGCAGAGATAGTTTATGAATTATTTTAAGGGTTCGTTGTATCCTAGTGTCTGAGTACGCCTGACTTTGGAGGAACAGAAGTGTGCAGAATAGTGTTTTCTGCTGTCCGTCTGCAATCAATGAGAGGACCTTACACAAAATGCCAACTCCTGCAATGTAAAGGGATAGAATTGACTGGTTATTTTATGGTATAAAAACATAAGCAATAAATTGCGGATAGCAGTCACCAAACTCGTCTATTGCTCTCATTTTATGGAACTGAAAGATTCACTGTTGACAGCCTAATATCAACGATGTACATTGAAACATACAGCCAAATTATATAATGTTTGAGGTTTTCACGGCTGTGACTATGAAGAATACTATTATCTGAGATGCGGCGCCGTGCAGATATTTTGTAAACCGACGTTTCGACATCTTAGAAGATGACATTCTTCATACAGCTAAATTAATTTGTAACTGAGTTTTTAAAAATGTTGTGTGGAAGGAAAGACATTTTTATTTATTATCCTTTATCAAGCTTACAAGAACCCGTCACTAGATCATGTCATTTTCAGACGATTCCGGTCAACATCCACACGTCCTGTTTCTTTAAAGCCCACATATAAAAGAAAAAGAAAAAATAAAGTAGTCCTTTGAAATATGAAGTTATCACGGGGTGACTATGAAGATTTGTCTTCTGGGATGTAACAAATTGTAGCCTGGTAAATGTTTCAGCCTTCAATGATGAGGCAGTTTGTTCCACAAATTTTTCGGTAAATGCCTGCCAGACTATACAGAGTCACATCCCAGAATGCAGTAATCTTCGCAACATTTTAAAGCCTCTGATTGGTTCGCGACAGTAAAGATACACTGTGAATTACCAATATTATTTTGGATACTGTGCATTGTGAGAGGTATAAATATATTGTGACACATTAACGCACTGTCAGGCAACGTTTCGGTAAACACCCCATGACGTGCATACAACAATAGGACGAATTTTTATAGATCGTTGTTAGCCAACAATCAGCGAGCCAATGGACTGGCGAGATGGCTATCACGTGACCTGTGTGTTCTGCGCTACGCGGTGAATTAATGAAACAGTGTCTAATAAAGGAATAAGGAACGTCGTTGCTCTTAGATGGCGCAGAAATCCCTAAGTCAGATCTACATAGTGTAATAGGATGCTGAAATATAATATCCGGGTAATATATTGCAACATACACGCAACAACGAATCGAACAAGAGGACTTCAGCGATAACACTTCTGACTTGTACTCGGAGGATGTCGAATAACGAGCCTGCCACCGACTGTCATGACGGTGACTTTTCGTTCTTTTGCTCAGTCCCTCCAGGCAAATCCCTGGTAGTATTTTAACCTGGTCTATAATAAATACTTCAGAAAATTTAAAATCCATTATTCACTATCATCTAATCATTCCATGTTATGCACTCCTGAGTTCCTTACAGGATTGGTAAATAAATAGCAAATTATAAATGCACAAATAAGCAAGTAAAGTAAGTAAAAGTAAAGGTACCCTGTAACAGGCCGTAGAGACCCATAGGGTTGTAAGGTGTAGAGGTTCCCACATTTTCTACAAAATCGGCTCATAAGTGGCGGTAAATTTGTCATCCTTACGCGCCGGCCGCCCTTTATCCCCCAAGTATATTTCAAGAATATTCTTGGTACGCATTTCTGTTAGAGGATGAGTCGACCCCAGAGCCATAGTGCGAGTGGAAGGATTAGGTAAATTGAAAAATCCACCTCTTCGGACTCGATCCCGCGACCTTCCGGCTTGTAGCATAGTGCCTCAACCAACTACGCTACCTCGTGTCCTCAAAGGTGTCCCAGAAGGTTAGAAATATCAGGGAACCTCTCTAATTCTCACACAAACGCCAGTGTGGCTGCAGCATCCTAACACGCATTTGGTGTTTGAAATACTGTAGGACGCCGAGAGACCCTTTGACCATATTAGATAGAAAATGTCAGGTTAAATAAGAAACTCTTGAAAATTTCATAATATATCTCTCGGGATTGGCGGATCCTGAAAGAGGCCGATGCTCCCAAGGGTCTTGGAATGATTTTGTAGAAGGCTGTGGGTACACAATTTATAGATCAAGACTATTCTAGGAATGAAGATGTACAGATCTGAGAGTTTGTTATGTGTCAAAATTGATTAGAAATGTTAAAGAAATACAAGTTTCGTAGTGCTGAATGTTGCGAAGAGATGTTGTATGTCCGCTATCGTGATGCAGAGACGTAGAGAAGTCTCCCTCAGGACAGAATTACGTTCGACATATCCCCACAGGATCTCGGATTAAAAATAGTGTACCCATACTACGCCCTTTGCGTCAGTAATGCGTGTTCCCATTTCAGTTGATGCAACAAGATAGAATGCTTCTAGAATATTCTAGAATGTTTGGGTACTCTTAGCTAGAGCGACCCTCGCCCTGTTCAACATCCGAGTGTCGTAAGACAGTGACAGCCATGTCTCTTATTCGAAGATTTAACAGTTCAACATATCATTATATACTTGATGCCAAAGTCCTACTGCTCTTGTTTCGGTAGTCCGGATATGAGCCACGTTGCATTATTAGAAGCAACGTTAACCAAAAATAGCTACTTGGATCCATTATTATTACTTTTACATTAATCTCTCTTCATATATATTTACACATAAGTACATAAAAGTAAAAATGTTAAGTTGTCCTTGTGATGAAATAAGTACTATGCCATGAACACGTAGTGGGGAAGTGGAGGTATGGCTCGACCATTGACCTCGGCACTTGAGGAAGTGAGTGCACATAGGTGCATAGATGATTTAATTAATGTGTTCCCATAATTAGGTCATGTGCCCAATTATGCAACAGAAAATCATAACTTGTAATCTTCGCAAAATAATTTAGGGTGATAAAATCAAAGACAATTAAGTTGGTCAGAGCTTGTAGCTCCCATGGGTGACAAGAGAAATGGGCGCAAAATTTTAGTGAGGAAACCTATAGGAAAGAGATTACTTGGGAGATCTACGCTTAGAATAGTTGCAAAATGGATGTTAAAGGAATAAGATGTGAATATATTGTTAGATCCCAAATTTTTCCTTCTCATTTGGTGTGCAGATATTTGTTTAAATGAATTGAAATTCTGAAAGTCTGAAATTAAGTTCGGAAATTGACTGAATTTTAGGGATTTTTTCTTACTTTGGTACGAGTTGAAAGTTGGTAAGAACTCTGATAACAGAACAGTAGTTGTAATTGTTTCTTTAGGGACTACATCTGACTTCCAGTCGCCACTGAACGCCTTTATTACAGATCAGAGTTTGACTTAATTGCAAGGGATTTCGCGTGCATGGTGGTTATGTTGGCAGAATTTAGAAGTTTCTAATACTCGTACCTGTAACAACAGCACATTATTTGCAGTCGCTCCTCAGGGACCACATCTAACTTAGAATCGCCACTCAACACCTGTAGTGCTGATCATCTTTTGTCTGAATTTTATGGAATATCTATTCGATTTACGGCGCTACCCGATTTTCTGAGAAGTAGTGGGTCTGGAACGGGGTCCACTCAGCCTCGTGAGGATAACTGAGGAGCTATTTCAAAGAAATAGAGGCTCCGGTCTGGAAAACCGAGATTAACGGTCATGGGGATCCTTTGCGCTGACCATGCGACACCCACTATCCGCTAAAGTTGGCACTAACTTCGCCGACAAGCGGCGGTCGCTCGACCGGCATAGTTCGCTTGTGGACTTCAGGCCACGGAGTTAGTTTGTTTTTATAATTACTATTAATAAAAAAAAACACAAATTTGTCTATAGGTGACACGAGAGTCTACTTACACTGATATTAAAACCAGAAATGTTCAAAGCAGAACTATGATAGGTTTCTGAGCGAGATATTCCGTTCACAACATGGAAAGTGTTAACGGGAAACTGAACAATTTTCTGGTAAATCAGTCTGAAGGTTTAATCGGAAAGGATCCGCAGGCAGTAGGAACCAGTCTGCATTATGGAAAGCTATTTTTTTTCTTCAAAATTAATTTTATAATATTTTCCATTCTCTTCGTGTTTCCCTCTTTCAGTGAACGTTAAGCTGATCGAAGAAATTTCAGTTTGTATATTACGTAAGACTGA